AGTTCTCCCCATTTCCTAATGAAATATCTCTAAAGTTGGCTACTTTTGAGTGTGTGTTAGGAGTCTATTTCATATAATAGTAGTGAATATTATTGTGTGAAAAGAAATAGCCCCAAATAAAATAAGAGTGTGTTTATCTCTTATTCATTATTTGGTTTATCCTTATACAACCAGAAAACCACCACAAAACTCCCTTTTTTTCTCCCCCAATTTCGTCCATCCCCTTTCCCCCATTTAAACACTTCATCTCTTCATCAAAAACCACTCCATAATATTGCTTTTTCTCCTGCCCTTCATTCTGCCATATCACCTTTTCCAAACAGCCATACTATCTTCACCATTTTATACTCAAATCCAACCTATTCTTCATCATATATTCCCCTCTATAATCTGCCCTTATTTATCCATAGCCTTTTCCTAAGCTTGGGTACATCATTTGGGTGTTTTTAGTGGAAGGAAAGAGTAAGGTTAAGAGGAGAAATGGGGAGAAAAGAAATGGAAGAAAATCAGGGATGGATGATATACCCCGGAATGCACCTTCACACACGCCACTAGTAGTGCAACAAGTCAAGTGTTTAATGTCAAGGTGCTATGATCCATTTTGGGTTGAACTCATTGACCCGTCCCACATTAAAGCCCGAACCATGACACTTCTCTCCCAAAACCCAACCTAGACCAAAATGCCTACAAGTCCAACACACTCCCACATATCCAAAAGTATTTCATTTGCCTTTATTAACCAAAATAAAGTCCTTCACCTCACTTTGAAGCCATAGCCGAAAATCCAAGAGACAAGGACAAACAAAATTGCTTTGTGTGTGCTGTTTTCTTTCCTAATATTCCCTACTTTGAATAAAACCTTCCCCCACCTTTTCCTACTTCAAAACCACGAAAATACATCCCCTTTTGGCCTTAGAATCCATCCCCATCCATCCCAATCCATTACAAAACACAAAAGACCAAATCAGGAGACAATGATTAAACATGTCTTTTGTCTTGGTGTGAAAATCATTCAAAACCATCCCCCCACATATCCCTTTGTCCCATCGCCAAATTCCTCCCCCCCAAACATCCCCCCCAAATCATTTCTCACACCTATAATAAGGCCAAAGGAATAAACAATCAATTCCTTGATGTGTCACATACCTTAATTTACAGAAATGGACAAAAGGACACACTCCCTCACCCTATCCTTCACATGGCCGAATTTCCCACCCAAAGACAGCCCATTTTCACCACCATGAACCCTTTTAGCCTTGATCAATGAGGACAACCTATGGGATCCATCAAATGGGCATTATGCACTTGAATTGTAGGAAAGAGTAGTGAAGTTTCCTTGCTGTTTTTCCCTATATATTTCGGCCCTATGGCCTTGTAATATTCGTTGATTGTATTTCATTTCCTTACTCTTTGAAGTAATATTTGAGTTGGTGTGAAGCTAATTCTCTCAATTTCCTAATTAAATATCTCTGAAGTTGGCTATTTTTGAGTGTGTGTTAGGAGTCTATTTCATATAATAATAGTGAATATTATTGTGTGAAAAGAAACAGCCCCAAATAGAATAAGAGTGTGTTTATCTCTTATTTATTATTTGGTCCATCTCCTTTCTCCCATTTAAACACTTCATTTCTTCATCAAAAACCACTCCATAATATTGCTTTTCTCCTGCCCCTTATTCTGCCCTATCACCTCTTCCAAACAACCATATTTTCTACACCATTTCATATACTAATCCAACCTATTCTTCACCATATATTCCTCTCTATAATCTGCCCTTATTTATCCATAGCTTTTCCTAAGCTTGGGTACATCATTTTGGTATCAAAGCTAGTTGTTACTCTTCTCTCAAGGACCATACACACTTCCCCAACTCCCTCCCTAAATTCGGCCTAACCACATTTAATCTCTACTCCCACTTCATCCCTTTTCCTATCAACCATGTCAAACCGATCCCGAAGCATGTCCCATGAAGAACTTGTGGCCTCAAACACTGCTTTACAAGCTCAAGTGGAGTACCTAGCCAAAGAAGTGGCTAAGCTCACAAAGCAAAAGATGTCCATGCTACGAGATAGTGAAGATGAAGAGGAATCCAGCTCTAGTGCCACCATGAGAGCTAGGGCTCACGAAAAGTCATATTCTGACTCCAAAGTTGATATTCCAATCTTTGAAGGAAAGAATGACCCGGATGAATTTCTTGAGTGGTTAGAGACGGTGGAACGAGTCTTTGATTTCAAAGAAGTCTCCGGTGACAAGAAGGTCAAGATTGTGGCCTTAAAATTCCGCAAGTACGCCTCCACTTGGTGGACGAACACCTGCACCAAACGGATTCGAAGTGAGAAGCCTCCCATTGACTCATGGCAAAAGATGAGGAGTCTCTTGAAGAAGAAGTTCCTACCCACTGAATATTCCCGAGAGAACTTTGCTAAGCTTCAAACGCTTAGGCAAGGTACGAAGTCCGTGGAAGACTACACCCGGGAGTTTGAGGAACTCCTACTCAGGTGTGACTTACAAGAGAACGAAGAGCAAACCTTTGTAAGGTACCTTTTTGGCCTAAATCTCCAAATAGCCAATACGGTGGAGCTGCAACGCTACACTACATTTGAAGAGCTTACTAAGTTGGCTCTCAAAGTTGAGGCTCAAATGAAGAAATCCAAAACCATTCTCTCAAGAAACCCTCCCCCTTACTCACGCCCCACATATACCCCCTCAAAACTCACCCCTACTGCCCACGGCCAAACCTCCAAACCCCAAACACCATCTAAACCAAATCCTACTCCTCCCCCACCTAAAACAGCCCCTGCAACCAACAAAAAAACCCCGTTTGTTACCGATGCCAAGGAACTGGTCACTACGCCAATGAGTGCCCAAACAAGAAAATAATGGCCTTGGTTGAGTATGATGATGAAGAGTACAATCCCGTATGGGATGAAGAAGTAGCCGAGGAGGAGGAAGAAGAATGTGTTGGCCCCGACGATGGTGAACTTTTGGTCATCCGAAGGACCTTAAGTGCCATACCATGCCCC